CAGTTGAAATGGGCAGTAGATCTCTGAGCTACTGCAGTGATATTAGGGCCACCATCTTGATGCTCAACTGAAAATGTCCTATTCTGGCTGTGTGTGTACAGGAAACATACCATCCACAGCAATGGTGTTCTCAAGCCTGCTAAGCGTCTCCAAATGGGCTGCTTCCCAAATTGGAAACGGTTTAGCAGCCTCCACAAGGCATTCAGGGTGGACTAGTTAGCCCTGCTGAGTGACAATGTCTTCCCATAGATAATTAACTGACCACCCACATAGCCAAGCTGCACAGAGCAGTGCAGGGAACTTGAGGTTGCCACTCTGGAGATAGGTTTGATTTATAGCTACACTGTAAACGTGCTAAGGGGTAAATCCCTCAAACCTGCCTGTTTATACATCCTGCTTCTGCCTTGACTCCTAACCCATCCTGTAACAGCTGAACTGTAAGGTATTGCAAGCTTAAGTTTCAGTGCCTCCGTGTCTCTTAGTGGTATCTGAATCTTAGGCACAGCTAGTCAGGAAAAGTTTTTGCTCCTATAAATGTGTTTTTAAAGACCATTCACTTTTTTTTTTTTTTTGTCATCTGTATTCTTTTTTCTTCTCCAAAAGTTTTCAGGTTTTCATCCAAAACCCCAAATTCTGTTGGAAAAGGATTTGAAATATGTAGTTGAACTCAGGTTTTCCCATAGAAATGTCTATTTTGATTTTTTTTTTTTTAATCATTAAAAAATATTTGAACAAAAGAATTCCAGCTAGCTCTAACTGCAGGATTAAGGTTTGTATTCCTTCCCCAGACCAAACTCCCAGTGTTGTGGTTGTCCCTGTAGGGTGAGGCCTGGACTGAAATTTTGTCCCTCAGAAGGGAAATGAACCTCAGGAGGGTTGAAAAAATTGAGATGCCCTAAGAAATCACAGAAAAATCAGACAGGCTCAAATGGTATTAACTTCTGCACAGGAACATATTTGGACTGGAGTAACTACGCCCTTGTTACAATGGCATTCAGGCTTGACACAGAACCTTACATACATGGGGTGATACTTTGATTCCAATGAACTCAGTGGCAAAAGTTCAATTGACTCCAATGGAGCCAGAGCGTCACTCATGACACTCATGTAGTGAGACTTCTGTAGTCTAAAGGGGAAAGGATAATAATA